ATAAAAAGTCCAAAGAATATTCGTCCAGTCTTCATAGAATTTATTTTGATTGCGGATCTGAGATTTTGCTCTGTTGTAAAAGTAAGTTTTTTTCTTGCCTCATTTGTTTTAAAGAAATATTAAAATAACATGTTACGACATTTTAGAAGTTTAGTAAGTTAGAATAAAATGTATAAATGTTTCGTTGTTTTGCTTCACAGCAAAAGCGTTGTAAAATGTTATACTTTTATAGAGGCTGTTAGCAAATTTTTTAGACGATTTTGCTTTGCTGCAAAAAATATCTTCTGCTTGAAAATTTTTTTTAACTGCAACTATATATTTTTGAAAGTATGAATTACCGTCTGCTACTTAACAGTTTTGTTTTCATGAAAAATGTCGCTTTTAAAGGAGCAATGGATGGAAAGCTATGTTTGTGCTCTTTCCGAAGAACATTATTCGAATCTAGTTATTGCAAAACGTTGCAAAAACATGGTTTTTCGATCTAAAGCTACGATAAGTAATGTTGTCAATAACAAAGTTAAAAAACTTCAAACTTAAGAGCTGATAAGTGAATAATAGCTTTAGCTCTGTAGACAGAGAACAGATACTCAAGAAGGGTTAAATATCTTTATTATTCCAAATAATGTTCACAGAAGACTCCTTCTTGGAGTTTACAATAAAGCCACCACTCGGGGTTGAACTCAGGAAACTCAGAAGTTAACTAATCTTAACTGAAAAAATATAGCCGAAGCTATCAAGATTCTAACTGGCCCCTTAACACTAACTAACGGCAAAGCTATCAAGGGCCTAAAGTACGGCCGAGCGTAAAATAGCTTTAGAGAGAGTATAAACAAAAGGCTAATGTGCGCATCATAGAATCTTTGGCTCTCTAACGAAGTCAGTAGAACTTCACAGTTAAATACTTCTTCTCCTCATTTGCATTTGACCGCGATTCTGAAGACTCGTTCTGGCCGGAAGTTGTAAGCTGAAATTCAGAGAGGGCAGGAAAGTAACATTTAACTAAAAACTAACTGTTAGATAAATTAAGATAAACCTTACAAGTTAAAAAAAATTGCTCTAAATGCTTATTCAGGGAAAAAACGGAATATTTAAAAAGTAAGATCTTTAATGTTTTAAAACAAATGTTTTAAAACACTAAAGATCTTACTTTTTAAATGTTTAAGATCTTTAAAACAAAATCCGCCAAGTCAAATAACATTTGAAAAATCATTGAAAATTTCCTCGTCAACTATAAACAAAGTGATTAAGTCTGATATGAATCTTAAAATGTGGAAAAAAAAAACATAATATGCATAGCCTTTCTATACGACATATCGCCGAACGTAGAAACGCGCTGCAGAATTCTTCATAAGAAATATTTATCCGGACAAAAATTTAAAGATGTTGTTAAAATCTTGGGTGTACTGAAATGATCGCAGTAAAAAGAGATCCATTTATTGCAATAAAAAAAGATCCGTTTATTATCATCAAAGAGGAGATGAAAATCTTAAAACATGGGTCAAGGAATCTAAAGAAAGTTTCTCTAAGGGATTTATGATTGTTGCTGGTTTTTCATAAAACGGCAATTTGAAAATAAAGAAAGTGGGGAATATTGTTAAGATCAACTCCACTTATTATCAAAAACATATTTTACAGCTAGTTTTCAAATACGAAATTCCTTCTCTTTTCACATAGTTTGATCAATCAGTAGAACTGTATGAAGAAAAAGCAAGTAGCCACAGGTTAATCCGCTGTTAATTTCCTGGAAAAAAATGGAACAAGAAACGAGTATTATAGCCATACTCCTTCACCCATGTCCCTAATAAATCTCCTGATCTATCACCGATGTATTTTTTGCTCTTTTGGACTTTTAAAAAGCGGTTTGTCCAAACGTCGACCTACAACCTGCTTAGACTTTGGAAAGTTGTTCGCGAACAATGGGATAAAATACCTCTTCCGATGCTACAAAAGGCTTTAATGTCTTGGAAATCACGGTGTAGAAGTACCGTTACGGTTCAGTATTGTTGATTTGTTTTCTCTTCGAACTTTGAGCTCTACTTTCTTTGGCCAACTTTTGCAAGCCATCAGCGATCAATTCCCGTACTCTCATCTTGAAAAATTTAAAGATGTGACCCGTTTCCACCACCTCGGTAGTATAACGGCTAGCATACCTGCCATCCAAGCAACTGAACAGGTTCGACTCTCGGCTGAAGCAAGTGTCATCTTTGTTTTCTACAAATTTTAGAAAATGACGCTTTTGAAAAATATTTTCTAGAACAATAGCAATTTATGTTATATAATAATTTTTATTTATACTTAAAAAATAGAATCAGAATTTAAGCAAATCTTTTTAAATGTTATTATTTATCCGAAAGGCTGATTTTCCCTGTACTTTATACAAAAATTAACTTCTCTTTCTTAATAATAATTAAATAAATGTGCAACAAAGACAAGAAAACACGTTTACTGAACGCAGTTATTTTAAAACAATTTAATAATGAATGCTGACATGTGAGAATGTATTCGTTATAATTTCATGTATAACATTTTATGTATTTAGAATAACATTTTATTGTTACGAAGTTTGTATGTATGTAATTATTTTTAGTAAAGCTATCTGTAAAATTAGAGAATCTCATGTGTAATGTAACAAGAAGTACCTCAAAATGGGAAGCTCTGCGGGAAAAATAAGATTATATGGGCAAGAACATAGAGGTAAATGGCTGTCTTTACATATGTATTTCTGTACATATGCATTTTATACATACGTAAATAATTTTAGTTAAATTATATGTAAAACTGAAATATCTTTTGTGTGGCATGAAAAGTCTGAAAAGAAAAAACTATGCTGGAAAGGTAAGCTTAGTGGGGGAAATCTATTTAACGTTGAGGTAAATCTAATTTTGCGATAATCTAAATTTGCGAGGTACCACCAAGCTGGTGATAGCTTTGGAGACTAATTTTTATCGCCAAATTGGGTAAAAAATCGTTAAAAGTCGCCGAATTTGGCGACATTTTGGCAACGTTTGGCGACTCTCTTATTGCATAGTAACACTGTTTCATTCTAACACGTTAATGAATACGTGTAAAACTTCATATAACACTTTATGTATCACTTTATGTATCACATTCTGAAAAAAAAAGGAAAAAAAAAAGCAGTCCTATATCTCCCATTCTATTGGGTAGATTGACAAAATTTAAATTGCTTTTTTCATGTCTCGGAAGCGCGATTTAGGATATATACGAAGTCGCGTTTCCGAGACATAATTGTATAAAGCATTGCTCTAACATAGGTATTTTGACAAAAAATCGAACTTTTCTGAAATATATACCAATTTGTTTTTCATATTTGGAGTCTACGACTTAAATTATGCCTAAATGTTAAATTTTTTAAAATTTAGGGCGAAACTTGCTGAGAAATTTAAAAATTTATCTTGGCGGACCTTTCCTCAGTAACTTGGAGAAATTCTTAATTTATAGTAATCTAGTTTACTTTCCCTATCATTGTGCCCGAATGGAAAAAAAAAAAGATGCATTGTTCATTCTTTCAATTAATTTTTAACAAAGTGTGTAACCACATTTGGCATTATTATCGCTTACAACAAATATGCCAAATTTCAAAACGCTCCAATATACAAATTCACCTATCTTTGGAAATTTTGAATAAAACTCTAATTTTTTTGGTCCAGTAATATATCTACTTTAAGCTGATGACAAAAATTTTATAGTTTGCAATTCAATTTTTTTTTCGAAAAATTACTAAAAAATACGTTTTTTGAAAAACAAATCAGAAAATAGTTGCGGATTTTATTTATATCGAACCTAAGTTTCAAATTAGAGAGAAAGGAATCAAGTAAACACGTTTACTGAACAACCAATAAACACGTTTGCTGAACAGAAAAGACATATTAATAAATATATACTAAATTCAATTAACATTGAAAAGATAAAATTTTGAGAGTTAAATTTTTAATAACTACTTGTGCGATTTTTACAAAACTTGGCACTTTGGCATAATTTGAGTAGTAGAATCGAAATGGAAAAACAATCGGTATATGTCATTTCGGAAAAATTCTTTCCCATTGAAATTTTATGTTTGCCTATCATTTACACAGTACGTATCTTGAACTCTAAGTGTTCAGTTGGTTGATTGCATAAATTACGTAACTGCGATTTTGAAAAAAAAAGAAAAAAGTTTTTGAAAACATTTTAGGTATGTGCTACTAATTAGCTTTGTCGATTTTAGGAGTAGTTATAGAGAAATTATATTTTAAATTTCTTTGAAGATGCAAATACAAACATCGAATCGTTTGTCAGATGATGAAAAGACATCTCTGGTTGCAAAAAGTCTAAATTTAAATCAATCAAAATATTAAAAATGTATTTGTTTTTAAATGCTTTCGGAATTCATCCTTCTATTTTATATTGGTTATTAGTCTCGTATTACACGGTTCCACACAATACGGTATTTTATAGGAACCCATCTACCGTGTTATAGCAGGGATATCTGTATTTTCAAATTTTGATGCTTAAAAGTGGCGAAGATATTTGTAAAGAAGTTACATTATTTAGCCTATTATCTGCGAAATTCTTCGCCCAACAGGTAAAGTCGCTAAACACTGGTAGTTCGGTCCGACGTTTTAATCCCGGTGAACAGCTTGGATGTATACGCATTTTCATGGTTTTCCATATGCGTAACGTGTATACGAGCCAGCTTTTTTAGAAGGGCTTTCACGAAGGCATCCTTCCCTCTACGCAGATAGCGCTCGAGTGCTTTGCCATAATCAAATAAACCAATCGTAAAATTTAATTTTAACATTTATAGTTAAAAAATTAATTTTTAATAACATAAGAGACATATATCATAGCATGAATCAAAAACATTCCTTTGGTTTCATTCCATCTTTCCCTGAAATTTTTAGAATAAACTTGCACCAAATTTTATTAAGAGTTTTCAGCAATTTTAATCTCCTTGTAGAGACATTAGGTATTTTTTTGGAAGCAAGTGAGATGAAAAAGCCCTCGCCGGAAATCGAACTGGAATACCCGGAATACGCGCCCAGCGTGCTGACCACTACACTACGAAGGCATGCTAAGAAAGCGGGAGAAATACCTTGTATCCTTATAATGTTCAATATCCTGTTGGGAATATAACGTATTTTCGTCGACTTATTTAAAGCTAAAATTTATATTGTATTTCGAAATATGTGATCCTGAATTATAATGTCTCGAAGAATCAATCTTTTAAGGTTCTAATCTTTCCACAAGAGTTTCTTTAACCATGATAAAGCTAATTAATAATGATAATGATTTTTATTTTTACAGAAGTTGGATTACATTTAGTTAAGCTACCCCGCTAGTGAATTGCAATGAGTCTACTGTTGTTCCTTGCCATCGCCTCTACTATCCTGGCAGCATGCAACGGATATTCTTCATCTATGTCTTGTGTGATGAACGCAAACGGCGAAAGGATATGTAAGCATGATATTGATCCGAATGGAAATTTTGCGAGTTCTGGAGCCATGACGGACGGATACAATGGCCAAGTGTTCGCCAACGCAAACCGACAGCCTTACCCAATTTACCCGAATTCGAATGGACAGCTTTCTGCCTTAGAAAATCTGATGAGAACTGTCATGGGTCAAGAGAATCCTTATGCCAACAGGCCGAATTATCCCATGAACTACGATTACTACAGTAAGTTAAAAGCATGGTAAATACTGTAATAAAACAAACGATGAATGTTCTAATGAATAGTTCTGACGAGTTTCTGAATCCAATTTCAGGATTACAGTTTTCGTTAACTATTTGAATACGCTGTTAAAAATCTAGTTGAAGCATTATCAAATTATGGTACTAAAAAGTTGCAACTAAAAGATGGTGAAGCGTTAATCCATTATTTGGTGTTTTGCTGAAGCAATATTGTTAATGCATTGAGAATATGTTAAATCATACACTGAGGATATATTGATGCAAGAATTGGGAATGCGTTAAACATGAAACCATTAATAGAGAGTACCTTAGAACATCAATTATAATTATGTTTACCAATACCTGTAACTATATTGAGCTATTAACAGTAAAGTGTAAGAAGTTATTTTAGAGCTTCAGTTATAAAATTTTATGTTAGCCACTTTCTTCTGCTCTTTCTTGTATTTTTTATTTAATTACTGGTATGGGCATGACTCCTTCTCCTCAGATATTTTATTTATTACTACTACAGATAAACAAATTGCTTACACAAATAATCATACCTATAACAATAATTATTGACAATTTAGCTTCCCTAGAAATCTAGCATCTATAGCAATAATTATTGGCAATTATTGGCGACTTTCACAGCATTCTGGCTTATTTGCATAAGTTTATGATTCAGTTTCGAGAGAGTAAAAATACATAATATGTATGATTAAAACACATTTTGCAATACATTAGCTTGTATATAAAGTATATTTTTACGAAACAAACCCTTGTAACAAAGCCATCTAAAGATTTGAGAATCAATTAATACTTGAAATCAGAAATACCGATTTTTAGATAGGTTTCATACGACTAAATAGATGATTTAGAAATCATTTAAAGCAGGATATAAGATTAACAATAAAATAAAACTACGAATTTTGATAACTTTTATCGACGAAATTTATAATCTTCTAAAAGCGAATTTTGAAAAAATTTAGAATGTGAAATGCAGTGAAAGGTTTTTGACATTCCTTCGTTGTTACACTTGGAAATCGTTTTTTCGCGAGTTTCTCACTTTTTGTTGTGCACCATTATTTTCACCTTTCTTGGAGGTCTTTCTTAACAGCTTTAAAGAATGAATTGCATCTAAGGAAAATTTCTTAACTTATTTACTTGCAGGCATAGTGGTACATGACTTACACTTTTTTCCGCACATTCGATAATCACGAACAATTATATTTTAAATAAGCATACCTATAGCAATTAACGTTTTCTTCTAATGTCTAAGACAAATTTCAGACATTAATATTTGAAAGTTTCAGTTTTGCCATTTAAAATAATCGTTTGTTTTAGAATATATAAGCACACATTAAGACACCGGTATCTGCTTTTGAATATAGTTAAATGATACTATACTTTTCGATATAAGTTTCCATTTTGGAATCGATTGATAAATCAATTTTACATTATACTAATTTGTATTCTATTTACTGATACCAACTTCATTTTAACTCGTTATATATATACATATATGTATAATAATTAAATCAAGGCAATTTCTTTTAATTTTTATTTTGAAATGTTTTCACCTAATCTAGCTATAATTCAGAAACTTGGCCGTGTTAAAAATTCTTCTGGTGCTCCTGGAGAAAGACCAAGGAGGCACCAAGATAGAAATGGCTGTCATCTGAAAACACAGCACATCTTCACCCAGCCCTCTAATGAGTTCTAGAGTGACATCACCGAAGCCGCAGGTGGAAGTGATTTATAGTTAGTAATATTCCTGCTACAGGGCGCCTGGCTCGGGGCTGTCTCCCAAGCAATTAATACTGGCACCAAGATAGAACCGCCTGTCATCTGAAAGCACAGCAAAGATCTGCTGCGGGGAAGATCCACCCTCGAGCCCTCCAGTGACATCTAGCTTGTCATCCCCGAAGCCGCAGATAGAGGTGATTTATAGTTAGTGCTATTCCTGCTACGAGGCGTCTGGCTCAAAACTGTCCTTTAAGTAATCAATACTGGCACCAAGATAGAAACGGCCGTCACCTGAAAGCACAGCAGATCTTCACCCAGCTCTCCAATGAGCTCCAGGTCACAGCTCCAGATCTGATCGAAGTCACAGATTCAGGAGATTATAGTTAGAGATATTGCTGCTACAGAGCATCTGGCTCAGAGCTCTCCCTCAAGTAATCAATACTGGCACCAAGATAGAAACTGCTGCTATCTGAAAGCACAGCAGATCGTCACCCCCTTCCTCCAATGAGCTCTAGATTAACATCCCCGAAACTACACATGGACGTGATTTATAGTTAGTAATATTGCTGCTTACAGGGGTCTGGAACAGAGTTGGCGTCAAGTAATCGATTTGTTACAGTTTCCTGTATCTCTCTGGTGCCAAGAAAAGCTTGAATGTCTGCTGGAAATGCAGTGCGATGCGCCATAGACATGCAGTGTATATTACGCAGCAGCTCTATTACACGTCGTCGTTCAGACTCAGTAAGATGCTGATACAGCCATCTACGTCTAATAAAGGCATTCGTGACTCAAATCTCATAGTGGCCTTTTCGGAAGAGATATATAAAGCATAAAGTTACATCGCATATTTAATGCAAACATTATTTCCTTGTTGACAGTTTCACTAATAAAGCCACGCTCATTCATTTAGCGCAAAATTTGAATAGATGTCGTCTTTCGGATGTGCAAAGAGGCCTCCAACTTGATTTAATGATTAACTCCTTCTTGATTCTTAAAGAAGGATATTTGTTACGATTTCGGCAAAATGTTACTCTCATTGGGAAAAAAGGTACATCATTCATATATGCATAAACTGAGATTCTTTCAAGGTCTAACTTCCTTTCTCAATAGGTTTCGCTGTCAGTGGTCAATATCATATTCAAAATTGCAGTGAACTTTTCAAAATGTTTTCTTCAAATATTTATTTTAATCCTTTCCAAATCCTTGGACTTATGCCAAGTGAATTTTCCAATAAGAAATAATGGGGAAATAATGAAGCCGGTCTTATAAAAGATCTTGCTGTAATAAATAGCTGTTATTATTATAACACTGTTTAAAAGTCCAGACACTCATGTCATCCTCATACATTTCGACAATCTCTTTTTCATTTGCATGGTGATCCTAACCAATTTCATTGTCGCTTTAACTCTTCGCTATAATTTTCATAAAACTCATTGCTAACGAATTTGCAAAACATTTAAGCAAATAAACCACACAAACACTTGAAAATGTAAGAGCGGGTTGTTTACTGAACAGTAGCAACAAGCGTATTGACGCTAATGGGCAAACATAGCATCGTCTCGAAAGAAGTGAACAAGTGTAATGCGCGCAGTTGTAGCTTATCGAACTCGTATCGTATACCAAACAAACATGTTCACATCCAAACAGAATGCATAGACTCGCCAGTGGCGGAGTGATAAAAGCCGCTCTACACTAGTAGTTCTGTCTGAAGTTCGAGTTCTGGTGAACGGGCTGGTTGCATGGGCGTTTTCGTGGTTTTTCCTTATATGTAACTCCGATATGAGCCAATTTTCTTTAAAACGTCTTGCATGGGCATCCTTCTCTTTCCATTGTGTATTGCTTATTGGTAGAGCACGTAATAAAGAAAGAAAAAAAACAGGATGTATATCACGTTAAGTTTATTTCCAAAAGGATGTAACCGAACACAGTCTGAGTTTTCTCTTTTATTTAAACTAACTTGAAAAACAATATGTATCTTAAAAATACCTTTTCTTTCTCCTTCATTCTACTCTCATTTTGCAAACAGTTTATAATATATGATATAAAAAAGAAATATTTTCTTAATTTCAGATTATTTCTGACAGTCTACCCATCTCTGATGTCAGCAGCTGCAATAAGAAAACAACGAAACGTCAGATTTATCTACTTTGTACTCACAAGCTCCTAACATACCATTCTCCTGTCTTCCCAGAGCTCCTAGTCACAAACACATTTATCTGCGTTTTTTGACGTTTGCGATTTGTAATGCAGATGACAATAAATGCTGACTATAAAAAAAGTCTTAAAACTGCATTGTTTTGAAAAGGTTTGTTCTTTTTTTCATTACTCAGCGACTCGCAATTTTTGCACAATTGTAAAATAATCTATTAAAAAATTCATATCCTTTGTTATAGGGATGTAGTTGAAGAAACACAAGCTGCTTAAGATATTAAATATATTTACAATCTCTTTTCTAAAACGCTCTAAAATAACTAAATAGTTCTAAAACTAAATAGTTCTAAAACGTACTCGTTCATGTTTTAAGATGCCCTCTATAGAAATTGCAGCATATGATGTCCGTTGGTTATAACTTATTATCTGTCGGCCATTATTAAATGAGTAATGACAAAAATTGTACATGTTATTTAAAATGAAAACACTTAAACATGATTTTATATTGAAAATATCTGATATGGACACCACGTGACTTCCTTGTACGGTCTACTAAATTATATATAGAACACATTTTTTGTTGAACTTTATTTAAACTTATATTTGAAATTATTCTAACTTAATTAACCCATCCTTCGATGCAAGTTGCAAATGACATCAAAAATTGCCAATCTGAAATTAAATATCCGAGTCAGTTTTTGTCGTACTGGAGTCAAAATGTTTATGATTCTATTTTTCAATAACGAGTATAAAACTTTCTGAAATATAAGTACAGCAACCGGGAGACACATTAAGAATTATATTTCATTATTTGTCGACAATTAAATTTATTTATATATATGACATTGCCGAAACATGAATATTTTCGTCAATAAAAACACTTCTGTAATTGTAAGTATACGACCAGGATCAACGATTACGAAAATAAAGGCCGTAATGACTTTTGAGCTGAGTAAGCGGGGTGGTGTTATATATATATATATATATATTGTTGCGTGCGTACGGGTTCGTAATAAATTGAATGCGCAAGTCCGATGAAAAGTGAATAAAATTTATTATTATTATTACAACAAATAAAACAAAATGCTGCAATATCTCACATTAGTTATACTATAAACTATTAGAACATTCAACAGAACTTAATTCAAAACAGAGAAAGTTAATCCGTTTCACCGCAAATTCGCTACAATCATTAACATAAAAAAAAAAAAAAATAAACAACTGAACTGAGATGTTTTCCTCTAGCTTTTTATAAGCTTTTTAAATGCACGAGAAACTTCTCGTATTTTCTTGATTTTTGACGAAAAGCAAAAGCGTACAATTACGAGATATACGTATATTTAATTAATGCGCGTGCTTCTGTATTTTTAATTTTCCTGCGTAGCGTTTTCTTCAAATAAGTCTCATGCTGTATTGCACGGCAACATAAAACATTTTTAATTAATTCTATTTAAAAATAGCTAAATCAATACAAAAACCGTAACAATATATATAAGTAAGATAAAAGCATGTAACTATGAATTATACTTTAAATTAACAGTAGCTCCTTAATTCCTCTTTTCACTTCTCCCCTTTCTATTCTAAAAATAATAACTTTTTCGAAACTTCCTCATATCTGAAAAGTAATTTCCTCTCATCCCACTTTACAAAAAAGTAAAAAGCTGCTTAAGAGATTAAATAAATTATAATCTCTTTTAAGTGACAGTAGTGGAAGCTTATGAATTTCAGGACTCATGGACCTCGTACAATTAATTAATAACCATGTACATTACGAATATTTTTGGTGAATAACTATACATATACTGTATAACTTAATAGTTTCTGTATTTCTGAAATATCACAGAAAAAACAATTTTCAACCAAGAAAACCAATCAACCAAAAAAGACAAATAAGTGTTTGAAAGTGTTTAATGTTTTGAAAATTTTCAATGAAAGGATATTTATGTAAATCAAATGAGAATAAATATATCAGGGAAGATTCTTCTAAAAAACAAAAGATAACTCCAAGTCACTGTATAATTTCTCAAATTGAGAAAAGTTTTTTTATTCTTCCTTTTACTCTCGAGAACAAAGAAGACCTTCTAAGAAATCCTCCATTCCTTATGTTACAGAAGTTATGACGCAAAAGATAACGACTTCTAATAATTCACACTATTCGAGTAAAAGAACACGGTTGAGATTTATTCATTTGGATGTCAGTGGACGGTTTTACAATGCTTGAAGTTCAAATATAATATGAAGCACCTTATCTTTTACATTCATTGTAAGTGTTAAGCACAACAACGTATTTATGATTACCTTCATGAGAGCCAACTATTTCATGGCGAGTGTAAATAGTGAAATCTTAAGAACTCTTCAACAATGTATTTTTAGGAAAACAGAAGAACAGGCCTGTGCTTTTTTCACGATCGCAAATCTGCCTCAAGGATATGAAGATAGATCACATATTGTAGACAATTCAAACAGTTGTTTAACTTATAACTATGTATAATTAATTTATAACTCGAAATCAGAAGATTTTTATAAAAATTTAAGTTTTCTTGCTTATATTCTAAATTTTTTAAACGAAATTATAGATTTTAAAGGTATTGTTATTTGTTTTGGATATTAATGTTGAATAAAGTTACTTAACGGTAAGTCTATATAAATAAAAAATGTGCATTTGTTTGTTTGTTTTTCCTACACATGTACAGTTTTATTCCTTTCTTGATGGAATTTGACATACGTGATCTTTTCTGCCTCTTTCAACCTGCTTAACCCTTTGAAAAGCACGTAACCTTTTATAAACATGGAAGGCCTCAGAAATATGAAGCATTGCCGGAAAAATAAGGCTACAGGGGTAAATCCATATATAGTGGTAAATGGCGAGATAAGGCCAAGCTGGATATGGTTTTAAAAGCTGATTTTTGTCGTCAAATTTAACGATAAATCGCCAAAAGTCGCCTGATCCCTATGTAGCTGTAACGTTCCGTTCCCTGTGTAACACTAAATTAAGTATGTTTTCTAGGAATTTCGAGAAATCGAAGGTTCTAGAAATTTAGCAGCGGAAGGTGTGGCGGAACTAGTATATAAGACCGGATAGGGTATCAGTTCAGAGTTCAGCGGAGAGTATTGAGAGTATAGAGTGTGCGAGCTTAAGGGGTACCAGAAACCCCTATACCGACAATGTTAAATTGGCCATTTTCAATGTACCTTTTCTCAAAGTCTGCTGTAGATACAAAAATTTTTTTCTGTAATTAAAGTATACCTATCTATATACTGAAATGAGTTTTGAAACATTTGAATTTTAGAGAAAATTACAGGATATTTTGTTAGGCATAGTAAAATTTAGCACTTTTCTCGCACAAAAAAATTAAATTATTTTTTTCTAAGTTTATTACAAAAATCATTTTCAGTAAATATTAGGAACCTAATAAATAAGTCATAAAAAGTTTAGATACCTGTGAGCAGTAGTTCCTGAGAAAAGGTACATCGAGTATAAAAAATCACATTTGACAAAACGCTTTTTAGGTAAAATCCTCATTGATCAAGCAGTAGATGACAAATTAAACTAGATTTTTTACAGTTCTAATTTTCATAGAGATTAAAGAATGGTATTTTTAGAAAGATAAAAGTGTAGAGAATTTGAAAATGTAAAAATCCGAAATCACAATTTTTTGACGATTTTGGAGTTCCAACTCCTCTTAACGCATCTGAGGCCTTTTGTATTGTCTTGCGTTTAACGTTCTTAGTAGTTTGATGTGGTAACAATTTATCGTGCTCTGTCACTGTGAAAGATTATAGAACTATAAAATGGCTCCTTCGGGAAAATAAATTTTATCAAGCTATCAAAGGTTCTGTATGCATTCAGTTCAATACCAATCCGTATGCACATAACAAAATATTCTTGTGAAACTATAGGAAGGAGGACGCTACAGCCGTAGCACCTATAAGGAGAAAGTTATGCCAAAGGTTTTATGCTGCAGATGTGCTAAATTGCTTTTACGATGTGATATGTTAAATCAGATATGTTCAGATATGTTAAATCGCACCTTTGCCCTAGTTATGCCACTGTTACGTATTGCCACATTGGATGTTATTCAGCATTTCAAGTACACAGGTTTGTTCCAAAATTTGGATTTATTTTTCACTTTTAGGATACCTACTAAGGACAGATATAGATTGGTAAAGACTTCAGGGTCGTATACCTATTAAATAAGCGAAGACACATGACTTATTGTGAAACTATAAAAATGACCATCGAAAAGAATCGAAACGCCTGTGATTGCGAAAACGCAATCAGGAAATGAACATTTTTTCTCACGAACAGATACAATATTAGGCAAAGACCTACCCGGCCCCACAGCACGTGCTCGCAATAAATATCGCATACAAATCCATCGTTATCTTTCACAAAGCTAAAATGGAATCGCTTGCGATTGAAACACAATCAGAAATAGAGAAGCATTTCTCACATATTGATACAAAACCAGGCAAGGACACTTTCACTCTCAGTGCAGGTGTTTGTAATTGAAAACCCATTCTAATACACTGGCACCTTTTATAGAGATATGAATTGAAAAACTTTCGTAAAATGGTGCATCACTGTATAACTTTGTACATGCATTTCTTTCAATGTTATATACATCTGTTTACATTCATAAGTTGATGTCTTAGTATAACTGTTGGAATTGTTAAATATTTGTTGCGCCTTCATAGGATTAAGTTTCTGTGTTTTCTTTTACATCGTGAACTGTTGGAACTAATATAAAAACTTCTTAATGTCTCAGAAAACAATTCCTATGCCTTCCTAGAAGTCAAGAGTTACAACACTCCATAAAAATCAGCTGAAAAAAATTGTCGAACTTTCGTAGAACTCAGAGGCTGTATCTTCTTTCGGCAAAGTGAAGCAGCTGGAAAGCTTCACAAAAGTCAACTGTTAGACCTGCTAAAAAACTGCTATGAAGGCAAAAGTTGGAAAATTTCATAATTTCAAGTCAATTTTCAAGTCAACCATTTTCAAGTCAAGGAAAATTTCAAGTCAACCATTGGGACTACTAAAAAAAATCTCCCGTTCCTTCGAAGGAATCAATTATTGTGTCTTAACTGAAGTCATTTGATGGAAGTTTTCATAGCAGTCCACTTTCGTTCTGCTGAAACAA